GAGAACTGAGGCCCTGAATTGGAGCTGTGCCTGTGGCATTAGACGGGTTACTCAGTCTTTCCTGCCTGCGTCTTGGCTGCAGCGTAAGGATGATCCCCAGGTGAGGATAACAGCGCATGAAGAGACTAGCCCTGGCCGGGCCCAGGGAGGAGCCAGCCATCAGCATTTGCAGGTTAGTTAGTATTCTCTGGGAACGAGCAGGCCCATGCGTATACACCCTTCTTTAGTCCCAGCAGATCACTTGGCTTCGTTTAAAAAATATATATGTTTTTATTTCAAATATTTTTATTGATATCAGAGAACATTAATGATGAGAATCATGGATCGGCCGCCTCCTGCACGTCCCCAGTGGGGATCAAGCCCGTAACCCGGGCCTGTGCCCTCACCTGGCATCAAACTGTGACCTCCTGGTTCATAGGTCAGCGCTCAATCACTGAGCCACACTGGCCGGGTCCTTTGGCTTCTTAAGAGACCTGTGATGTCGGTTCAGGTTCTTCCCATGCCCTGGCTTAGGCTGTTAGTTCCCTCGGCAAATGTGTGCAGAGCCGGGGCCTCCCTCGGGCAGCCAGGTCCGAACAGGTCTGGAGCGATGGCACTGTTTTCTCTGGAAACCCGGCCTGGAGCCTGAGCCGGCTGCTGAGACAGCGCTTTGTCCCCGGGGTGCTCCCCGGGGAGTGGACGGGCCCAGCCCTCCCCACGAAGGACACCCTCGCGGCCTCTGTCCTCCGCGGACGGCACGGGTGGCCCGACGCCCTCGTTTCCCCACGCACAGCAGGCTCCCGGAGGAGGGAACCGATGGAGCTGTCACCCGCCGTCACCGTGCGGGGCCAGGGCTGGGCTCAGAAGGGAGCTCGTTAAGCCCTCGTTCTGGTTCTGCCACTCCGCGGACAGACATGAGGCTGGCCCACCCCGGGCAGGTCACCTCACTCTGGTTCTCGCTTCCTCCTCCTCCTCCTCCTCCGAACAAGGCGACGATTACCTGCTTTACACTGTGGGCTTTCAGAGGCGCTAACGATGCTCGATTGGGACATGGCAGTCCTCTCCCCGAACCTGCTCACACTGGTCTCTGATGCGGTAGCAAAGGGGTCAGCGGAGCCGAAACCGGTTTGGCTCAGTGGACAGAGCGTCGGCCTGCGGACTGGAAGGTCCCAGGTTCGATTCCGGTCAAGGGCATGGACCTTGGTTGCGGGCACATCCCCAGTGGGAGGTGTGCAGGAGGCAGCTGGTCCATGTTTCTCTCTCATTGATGTTTCTAACTCTCTATCCCTCTCTCTTCCTCTCTGTAAAAAATCAATAAAATATAAAAAAAAATTTAAAAAGGGGGGGGAGTGTCAGCGGAGGGACGAGCGTGCGAGAGGCCGAGGGCCCACCTGGGGAAGCGGCCATGTCGCAGCCAAGAGCACAGGGGTGGCTGACATCACAGAGTTGGGGGCATCCCCTAACCCCATGGTCGGCAAACTGCGGCTCTCGAGCCACATGCGGCTCTTCGGCCCCTTGGATATGGCTCTTGCACAAAACACCACGGCCTGGGCGAGTCTGTGTTGAAGAAGTGGCGTCAGAAGCAGTTTTAAGTTTAAAAAATGTGGCTCTCCAGAGAAATGTCAATCGTCGTGCTGTTGATATTTGGCTCTGCTGACTAATGAGTTTGCTGACCACGGGCCTGACAGGAGGGCGTTAGGAACCAGCTCGGGACCCATGGACTAAGGAAGATTTGAGATTTGACTTGAGCCACGCCTGTGCCTCTGGGGAAAACAGCTACTTCAGCCAAACTGCTGCTGGCCCTGGAAGGCCTGGGTTGAGGCTAGACTTGCACATGTGTCAAAATCCGTCCCGCCAGGCCTTGCAATGTGGCCCGCACCGCGCTGTCATCACTGCACTCCGCTGCGTTTCCATCACAATGACAGTTTATGACTGTTCAGTAAACCATTCGGCCCGCGATTTAGGCTGGATTTTAGATTTTGGCCCCTTCTCTGATTGAGTTCGACACCCCTAGAGAATCCAGTGTTCTTTAGGAGTTCATTGACTTGGTCATCCAGGTTTAACTGTTGGCGATTCCTCCTGCTTTTACTCGTCTGCTTATTGCTGAGAAGGGAGCAGGGAGGAAGAAACTGCTTTCATACAATTGAGGGCGGAAGGGTTTGAGCTAGAACCTGGAGTCGTTCTTTTCAACGCTGAGGCATCAAAGTGGGGTGCAGTGGGGTGAGCCACCCAGCTATTGATGATGGTGGCGGGCCCCTGTTTGGCCTGGTGGGCAGACCCTTGGAAAGCAGAGGTGGACGGAAGCCTTTTAAGACAGTTCCTCTGTAGGGGACCCCGCCCTGGGGGGGAGATGGACAGCGTGACTTAGACGTGCTGTGATGGAGACTCAGGGCTAAGCATGAATGGACAGGGCAGGCGCTGGACACAGCCTGGGGGCTGGCGCCTGCCGTCAGCAGGGAAGCCAGCATCTGCTCACACAACAGGAAGGTTTTATTGGACACGCCACCGGGAAGGACTCACCTTCTGGCATGTCCCCGGCCCAGCCCGGAGGGACGGCAGGCGTCCAGGTGTTTGTTAGGGTTGAGATGGGAGATTACTGTCGAGGTTGGGAATGGAACCAGACTCTCCCTTGTGTCAAAGAGACAAAAACCTCAGCTACTAAACGGGAGGGTAGGGGAGGCTTAAACCAAAAATAACTGTACAACGATGGGCCCTTTCTCTTTTATCTCCGCTGGCCCTGGTCCCCATCAATTAGAGAGAGAGTGGAAGGGAAGGAGGGAGGGGGAGAGACACATGGATTGGTTGCCTCCTGAACATGCCCCAACCAGGGCCAGGAATCAAACCTGCAACCCTTTGGTCCGTGCCACACACACAGCCCAGTGATGCTCTAACCACTGAACATACTGGCCAGGGCCCCTTTCCCCTTTTATAGAAAAATATATTTTATTGGTTTTTTTACAGAGGGGAAGGAAGAGGGATAGAGAGTTAGAAACATCAGTGAGAGAGAGTCATCCATCAGCTGCCTCTTGCACACCCCCTACTGTGGATGTGCCCGCAACCAAGGTACATGCCCTTGACCGGAATCGAACCCAGGACCTTTCAGTCCGCAGGCCGACGCTCTATCCACTGAGCCACACCGGTTTCGACCCTTTCCCTTTTTGACAAATGAGAGGTTACTCCGGGTCTTACTGGATCCTTCCTTGCAGGCCTTTGCTAGCCACCTGACAGGGAGGGCGATGATGGTGGCCTCCTTGGACCAGCCGTCGCTGACCTACAAGTAGAATCCAACGTTGCTGGCGAGTCAATGCCCCGGCCTTCCCCACAAAGCTGCCCTTCTGCTTCTCCCCCAAGGATTACAGATCCAGGGTGTGTACCCAGTGCCACGGCCTCCGCTTGGCTCCATAGAAAGCTCCTTGTGTTTCTCTGGCTTCTGCCCTTAGCAGGAAATTCTAGGAGTATTTCCCCCGCTCCAAGGAGGGGTGCTGGCTCTTCCTACTAGTATTCCCCTCTGCATCCAGATTAAAGAGAAACCTGAGGCTACTGTCCTCACCCCTGGCTCCAGGCCACGTGCCAACCACACGTGCCCAGGACAGCAGCTTCCTTCTGGACGGCAGTGCTGAGCGTGCTTGCCCAGTTAGGCGTCTCCTGAGCCGCCTGCCAGTTCAGTTCAGATGCAACTTGGCAAAGTCAGAGCTGTCCCTCCTCAGCTGACTCTCGTCTTTCTTCACGCGACTCTTACCTTGTCATTAATTTTCCACCCGAAAAGCACCTGCAGCGAGAGCTGACCTACATATGCCTGTCGTCAGATCCTGCTCCCGGTCCCCACCGGGCTGTCCCCGGTGTCCCCACACCCCTCAGCCGCCTCAGCCGGCCTCGCCCTGTCTCAGCACCGAGCATTCCAAGAGGCCTTCGGTGCTCTTGTGTGTCCAAGGGGATTTTTTCTGGGCCTTCCCAGCCTCAGCCATCAGACTCTCCTTACTGCATTCCAGGGACAGGCTTCTCCAGCTTTCCCAATGAGGCCAGGACAATGCACCACCTTATTCGGGCAGAGACCTCCCAGGGCAGGCAGGCAATAAAGAAATCCAGGCTCCGCAGCCGTTCTGTCCCTGGTAGTGCGTGCCCTCAGGCTCATTTCTGCAAAATGCGTCTCCCTCACAGGGCCAGCGTGGGTTAAAGTGACACTGTGCACGTCCCGAGCGCCGATCCCACGCATATCCCAGCGCCAGAGCATCCGCTCCTACCTTTGGGACCACGTTTTGTCTTTGTATCCTCGCTGCCTAAAGCGACGCCTGGCCAAGTGCCCGTAGAATGAATGAATGAATGAGTGAGTGCATTTTGGCTCTGGATCTAAACTTTGTTTCCCATGAGAATTTCGGGTTGGCCCTTTCCTCCGCTTCGGCTAAGGTACCAAGGCCAAGTTGGGGCGAGGTCCGCACAAGTTGGGGCGAGGCCCAAGTTGGGGTGCACCGTGAGCCGTGGTTTCCCGCCCATCACTCGCCCTCACCCACTCCAGAGCCTGTCCCATCTCGTATGGCGATGTGACAGGCACGCCAGGGAAGATAAGATCAGTACCCTCATTAAAGCCGAGGTCCTGGCCAGCGTCAACAGAGCCTTGTCTACGTCTGCATCCGGGGATGCTGGCCCTGCCCCAGCGGAGGGGAGAGGAGAGCAAAAAAAAGAAGAGTCTAGCCATGACACTGGCCACTCGACACCAGCTATCTCCCTTCAGCCTGCAGCCCGTTGCCACGGCAGGACAGGAAACAGACAGAGAGCCGCGTCTAACGGGGAGTCAGCGGGCCTGAAAAGGAAGTGGCGTGTTGGGGACTTTGCTGACAGGCTGTGCGGGGCTCAGCAGCGTCTGATGTAGGTCCCACGCACAACTGTGAAAACTAAAAACGAGACATTCAGCTCGCAGGGGAAGGTATTCCCAGGCCTTTTGTTTTTCCTGGCGGGATTTTAAAGCTCGCTCACCAGCACCCTGATGAGCCTAATCATACAAAGACAGTCAAGTACAAAAATGTGATAAATACTATTTATTGTGACTAACTGCTAAGCGATTAGCTGTTATAATAAAGGAACGATTCATAGTGAAAATAATATCGGAGGAGTAGCTTTGTGAAGCTCTTTGTCATCTGCTTGTCCAACGTCACAGGCCGTCCTCGACAACACAGACACAAACGCGCTTCCTGCGTGGGAAGCCGAACGCTGTGTGGCCAGGCCGCCTGCCGGGAGCCGGTTAGCTTCTTGGTCCCGGGGACCGCGCTGGGAACTGTCCGCGGGCGGCCGGCCGCTGATCCCACCCGTGGCCGCTGGGGGCGTCAGAGAGGAATCCCTCCGGCTGTGACCTCGGTCAGTCCAGGTCCACCTTGCCTTTCTGTTGCCGCTTCATCCTCGAATAGGGGCTGATGGTGTCGTCCATCACGAAGTCGTACAGGACTCTGATCCAGGAGTTGTAGTGGGGCAGGTTGTCGTAGTACTCGGCCGCTATCTTCCTCACCTGGAGGGAGAGACACAGAGCGTGAGTGAGGGGGGGCTCCCCGAGGCCTCGTGAAGATGACAGACGGACAGACAGACGGGTGACAGACACTGGGAAACCATGAGACCTTTCTCCCCTCCAACCTCTCCCATCAACAAAGCAGCTTCATGAACTCTAAGCAATTTCTTTTATTTTACTTATTTTTTTCCATTTTTTTAAATTAAAGTATTATATGTGAACTCTAAGCAGATTCATCAGGAAAATAGACTTGACCTTGGGCTGACTGACGCTTTCCTATCAAGCCCTGAGGGACTACGTATCTGGCTTATTTGGAATCTTTACCAACAGAGACTATTATTTTTCAAGCACACCCACATGGATTGTGGGGTACGAAGGTAACACGTGACCCCGCCATCAGGAGCTGGCCAATGGGAGTACATTGCTGTGGGTGCCCATTGGATGGGCACCTGTCTAGCGTGCGGTTCTGCCATCCCGAGGTGAGAATGTCTGTTGAAAGTGGCTGCTGCCAGTGTGACCGGGAAGCACACCGGTTCCATGGCTTCACCGAAATGTACCAAACTCTCCTGATAACCGCCAAAGGGGAACAACACAGCAGAGTCACGGTGGTGAACAGACAGCAAGAAAAAGGTGGTCACGTCTCAATGACTCCTTCAGTTCGGGAATGTAACAGTCTTTTCTGGTTGTGGAGAACCAGATGATCGTACCACACTGAAGGAACCATTCAGTCAGAGAGAGCTCCCCACAGGGTACTCTGTCAGTCAGGAGAGAGTGATGTAATACCTCTGGACACAGCCCTTCAACATTCCCGAAGTTCTCCCATGAAGAAGGACACCTGCAGACCACACACATAGCTCAACCTGGATTCCAATCCAGCTGAACTGAGGCCAGAGCAGCGGTAAGCAATGCGTCCTAACAGCTAGAATACCATCTTTCCGGAAAAGCAGAAAACCAGAACAAGGCCGGCCTTGGTGCACACGCCTCGGTGCACACGCCTTGGTGCACACGCCTCGGTGTACACGCCTTGGTGCACACGCCTCGGTGTACACGCCTTGAGAGGAAAAGCGGGAGGAGAGGGGGGGCTAGAGCAGTCTAAGGCCATCTGTGAATTTAGCTAAGGAGTGCGGAGACACCGTGAGACACAGGGGAAAGGAGACATCCGTGAGCCATGGCCTTACAGTCAATACTTGAACTAAGTTTCAGTCTGGGAAAGAAAGTAAAAGTATGTGGCTTATGTTGGGAAAGGATCTCTGTTCAGAGGGCAGCCAGCTTTCTCCATAACCTTTTACAAAGTAAGCGATGTGCCTGCCCACTCGGGGAAGAGCGGAGGCCACCCCGCCAGTGCAGCCGGCACCCGGCTCAGTGACCAAGGAGCGCCCCGTGACTCCGGGCCCAGAGTGGCGTCCAGACCGTTGTGGTGTGCTTCCACATTTTATTGTGATTTACTACTACAGAGAAGCTGAGGGGCCTGGCCAGTCTGGTTCAGTGGATAGTGTCAGCCCACAGACTGAAGGGTCTTGGGTTCGATTCTGGTCAAGGGCATGTACCTCGGTTGTAGACTTGATCCCGGGCCCAGTTCCGGGTATATGGGGAGGCAATCAATCAATGTGTCTCTCTCACATCAATGTTTTTCTCTCTCTGTCTTTTCCCCTCCCTCCCACTCTGTCTAAAATCAGTGGGGAAAATATCCTTGAGTAAGGATTAACAGAAAAGCTGATGGAATAGTAAAACCTATAGCCTATGCTCTTCACCTAGGCCCACTCATTCACACTATGTCACAGTCACGCTCTCTCTATATATAACATACACCACATACTTTGCTTTCTTTGCTCAACTTTGTAAGTAAGTTACATTTTGTGTCAACTTACCCCTAACATTTCACCCATACATAATCAACATGTGTTCCCTGAGGACAGGGACATTTTCCCCACAAAATCACGGTGCCATTTCATTCTGCAAAAATTTAACATCGATACGTGATCTATTACACAATCCAGATTCAGAATTGCCCCACCGACCCAATGTCCTTTGTAGTTTTTTCTTTCCTCCATTGGGAATCCAATCAAACGTTACATATTAAACAGCCAACATTGAAAAACTTTATATGAGGAAATCTATAAAATTTGATTGGGAGGCAGTAAAGCATAAACTATCTGGCTTATATCCATTTAAAGAAATCAAGAAAAACTATTATTACATCTCATACATATGTACTTTTTTTTTTTTTTTTTTTTTTTTTTTTTTTTTTTTTTTTAGATTTATGGAAACAGTTCTTATAACAATTGTAAAAACTCCCCATTTTGAGGATGGAAAGTCTAAGGAATGTACCAGAAAGACACCTGAAGTTAGGAAGGTGGTCCTTGGAGGGCAAGAAAAGGTAAGAGTCCAAGTTTCTTTCCTTTACTACACAAACAATACACTAAAAGTCTGCTGTGCTGAAACCGGTTTAGCTCAGTGGATAGAGTGTGGCCTGCAGACTGAAGGGTCCCGGGTTTGATTCCAGTCAAGGGCATCTACCTTGGTTACGGGCACATCCCCAGTAGGGAGTGTGCAGGAGGCAGCTGATCAATGTTTCTCTCTCATCGATGTTTCTCTCTCTCCCCCTTCCTCTCTGTAAAAAAGTCAATAAAATATATTTTTTTAAAAAAAAGTCTGCTGTGATCGAAACAGATGACCCTGCCCGAGGAGTCAGCAGTTCAGGAAAGTGAGCCCATGTATTCTGCACATCAGTTATGTGGGAATCTGTCTTCCACCACAAACCCACATGTGGGTCTTAGTGAGCCTCTGTAGGTGAGCCGTGATGAAGGCCCTGTGAGCTGTGCTTACTGTACAGAGGGGCCTCCCTCCCCGTTTCCGAATTACTTTGCAGGCAGCAGGCTGTGCAGATCCCCCAGCACTTCTCAGCCCTAAGAGTTCCCACCGGGCTCCGATCCCTGGGTGTGAACTCTGAGAGCAGCTAGCAGACGCGGGACTTCTCTCGTTCTCTCTGATGAGAAGCTCACTGTAAAACACACTAGATCCCTTTGAACATGAGCAAGCGGAGACTCATTTTGATCACACAGCCATCAGAAACCGGCATAGGTATGGCACCCCTTACTTACCAGCGGGAGGTTTTTCCCGGGAATGTTGGGGAAGTCGTGGTGTTCGTTATGGTAGCCCACATTGAAGGTAAGTAAATTCAGAGGCCCGTAGTACGAGTAGGTTTCATGTCCCTTTAAGAACATGTAATGTTCGGCTATAAAATGTCCAGAGATCGGATGCAAACCCAGACCGAGTAAGGACGCTGCCAACATGTAGACTAATGATTTAACTCCCAACACGTAGTAAACGATCACGTCGAATGCGAGCTGGACCACGGTATTGATGATTTCCAGGTAAGTGATCGGCTTGGGATTGATGAACAGAGGTCGGAAAGCGTAGAAGAGAGGCTGGAGGACCACCCAGATGAACTTCCGGAAAGTGGTGCAGAAGAACCAGCCTTCAAAATCGGTGGGGATGTCCACATCGATGCCATCGGCGCCGAGGTAGCGGTGGTGATCCATGTGGTAGCGCTTGAAGGAGATGGAATACGGCACGCCGATGGGAAGGTTGGCGAACATCCCAAACCAGCGGTTCCACATGGCTCTGTAGTGGCCGAAGGCACTGTTGTGGGAAACCTCGTGAATGGCCAGAGTCATGGAGTGGTTGATGCAGCTGCCAAAGGCATACGCCCAAAATATGACCCATTTCCAGTCCAAGTCCTTCACTAAGTACAGCGCAGCCAGCTGCGTGAGAACCATCATGATGATGATCCAGATCAGGTTGGGATCAGGCTTCATCAAGGATTTTATCTCCGGATACTTTGCTGTAAAGAAGAAACAAAAACCAGAAATTAGGAACTTAGGAAAGCACAATTCTACAATGATAATTAAATCGACCATTAAAGTAACACACTAATTTCCCTTCTCTCCCTTCCCCCCCCCAAAAAAAATCATTACATGCCCCATTAGAGACTTGATCTCCTCAGGAAGGAGGAGATTCTAAAAGTAAGGTTACTAAATACTATGTCACAACAAATTGAGAATTTATGTAGGAAAATCAGCCTCAAAAGGTACTCTCCAATTTAACAAAAACATAGTCACAGAGGGGTAAAGATTTCATGTTGTCCAATTACATCTTTTTAAAATATATGTTTTATTGATTTTTTTACAGAGAGGAAAAGGAGAGGGATAGAGTTAGAAACATCGATGAGAGAGAAGTATCGATCAGCTGCCTCCTGCACACCCCCGACTGGGGATGTGCCTGCAATCAAGGTACATGCCCTTGACTGGAATCGAACCTGGGACCCTTGAGTCTGCAGGCCAACGCTCTATCCACTGAGCCAAACCAACCAGGGCCCAATTACCTCTTCACCTCTAACAAGTCTTTGTACCGTAAACGTATCCGGTTTACATAGTCTGGCAAATCTAGCCTGTGTATCTAGCAATATAGTACATATGCAGAAAAGAAGTCAATCTTAATATTCTTCATTTCTTGGCTACTATACCAAAAACATAAGTAAGGACAAAAGAAAAAAAATGGATAAACTGTACTGCATCAAAACTTTTATGTTGCAAACGATACTATCAGTAAAGTAAGACAACCACAGAACAGGAAGAAATGTTTGCAAATCATGTATCTTGTAAGTGACTAGTATTTAGACTACCGAAAGGCCTCTTAAAACTCTCACAGTTACTGACCCAATTAAAAACGGACAAAGTCAGACCCAGAAGCCAGAACCGACTGATGACCCGGAGCAGCAGGGAGCTCAGCAGGGGAGCAAGCGCACTGCCATGGCCCCAACTCCAACTCAGCGCTCACTACACACAAACACGCATGCTCTCAACACACGAACACACATCAAAGGCTGCAAAGGACACTAACCGCCTAAAACTCCACCAAGTCACATCCTGGGCTGCCTCCACTCGGCACCTGGGCAGCCTTTGCTTTAAAAATAACACTTTTAGAAATTGGGGTGACTCTGATCAGCGAGGCTCATTGGTTGAACGTTGACCTATGAACCAGGAGGTCACGGTGCAATTCCAGGTCAGGGCACAGGCCCAGGTTGCAGGCTCCATCCCTAGACAAGGGGCGTGCAGGAAGCAGCTGATCATGGATCCTCTTTCATCACTGATGCTTCTCTCTCTGTCCCTCCTTCTTCCTCTCTGAATCAATAATTGTATATGTTTGGAGGAAAAATAAATAAATAAAAGTGGACAAAGAATCTGAATAGTTTTCCAAAGCCGACACACAAATGGCCAGTAAGCACAAGAAAGATAACTCAGTATTTATTATTCATTAGACAAATTCAAATTGAAACCGAAATGAGATACCGCTTCAAACGCACTAGAATGGCTGTCATACCAAAGACAGGCAGTAAGTAACAAGGATGTGGGGAAATTGAACCCACACACACGGCTAATAACCACATACAGTGGTGCCAGTTTCGAAGACAGTTTGGCAGTTCCTCAAAAATGTTAAACATGAAGTTACCAAGGACGCAGCTCTTCCACTCTTAAAAGAGAAATGAAACGGGTTATGTAATGTTCACTGCAGCAATGGCCTTAACAGTCAAAGGGTGAAGGCACCCCAAAAGCCTACCGAACGATGGATGGACAAGTCAACTGCGGTATGTCCATACAAGAGAATGGAGTGCCCATACATGCGACAACATGGATGAACCTTGAAAACATGAGGCCGAGCAAAGAAGTCACAAAAAGACCGGTATTGCATGATTTCACTTATAAGAAATGTCCCCAACAGGCAAATCTAGAGACAGAGAGTAGATTAGTGAGGGCAAGAGAGTTGAAAGTGAGGTCAAGAACTGAAGGAGTAGAAGGTTTCTTTTGGGGGTGACAGGAAAATCTTAAAAACGGAATCGAAATAGGTAACTCTGTGTTGTACACTTGAATGGGTGACTTTAAAGTCGGTGAGTTAGATCTTAAGGCTGTTAAAAAATTCTATTTTCCTGTGGAAGTATAACCATAAAGGGAGCATTTTTTGTGGCTTATTATTTGACCTACAAGTAAGGTCTAATCCCAAGCCCTCATTAATTTCACATAGATGTCTTTTTCTAAAATTCATTTATTTATTGTTGACAGTATACAGATGTCTCCCATCTTCTCCCTTCTCGTCCCCTTCCCCCAACCCTACCCCGGCCCGGTCCCATTATTCATATATGCATATATGTTCTCTGGTTATGCTCTTCCTGTCCCCTCTCCCTCAGCACCCCTGCCCCTCTGAGGTGTGTTATTCCGTCCCCTGCATCCATCCCTCTGGCCCTATTTGGTTCATTAGTTTCTTTTGTTCTTTAGATTCCACTTACAAGTGAAATCACAGGTGCCTTTTAATTTTACTTTTAATATAACTCTAAATGTAAATTTAGTGGTGTTGGTTGTTAAACAACGTATTTATGCTTCCTCATCCTTCCCCCCCCCAAACCTGATGAATTTCAGAAATATCTCTTTATCATGTACGTTTAAGGTAAACAAATCTCCAGATTCTTATCTTCCCTGATACTCCACCCCCCCCCCCCCAAACAAACCCGGAGCAGTATTTACACCTGCTGGGGAGATAATCATATTTTCATTGAGCAATGCGCAGCCTTTTATCTTTCCAAGTGAAATGGTTCGGAGATAATGTGTGGGGAAAGGCTCAGCGTGGAGATATTTTTTTTTTTTTTTTTTTTTTTTGCTTCACTGGTTTTCTATTCAGTAGCTAAGATCCATATTCAGGAGTTGATTTTCCCCAGGTGGATACCTGCTTATTCTTAGGCAATATGTTGATAAGACATATCTCTTTATCACTTGCAAAATGCACCCTGTAATTAAAAAGAACGCATCAAGGCCTGGCCCAGTGGCTCAGCTGCTTGGAGCATCCATCACCCCGTACACCGAAAGGTCTCAGGTTCCATCCCCAGTGGGGGCGCAGACGGGAAGCAGCTGACGGATGTTTCAAAACATTGATGTTCTTCCCTGTCTTCCTTCCTCTCCAAATAAAAGCATATCCTCTGTGAGGATTGAAAATAAACAAACAAAAAGAAAGCATCCAAGAACCAAATTCTCTTAAAAGTCTACCTCTGTCTCGGCCGGTGTGCGCAGTGGTTAGATCATCGGCCCACGAACCCGGGGTTCTGGGCTGATGGTGGTTAAGGGCACACACCTGAGTTGTTGCAGGTTCCCTGGCCCCAGGAGGCAACCAATTGATGTGGGTCTCTCACATGGATGTTTCTTTCTCTCTTTCTCCTCCTTTCCCTTCCACTCTCTCTAAAACCATGGAAAATATACCTTCCAGTGAGGATGAACAAAAAGTCTACCTTGCCAAGACCGGTTTGGCTCAATGGATAGAGCATCGGCTTGGGGACTGAAGGGTCCTGAGTTCGATTCCAGTCAAGGGTATTTATCTTGGTTGCGGGCACATCCCCAGTGGGGATGAATGACTCTCTCTCATTGATGTTTCTCTCTATCTCTCTCCCTTCCTCTCTGTACAAAATCAATAAAATATATTTTTTAAAAAAAGTCAACCAATGAATGCATAACTAAGTGGAATAATAAATTAATGTCTTAAAAAAAAAAGTCTACCTTTCATAGCGACTATAAAGGAGGTGCAAGCTCCCAATTTACTAATTCAATTTTTAAAAATTAATTTCAAAAGGATCCACTACCTCCTTTCTGTAAAAAAAAAAAACCACACACACACACACAAAAAAAAAACATGACATTTCTAACTTTGGATTCCCCCAGCAAAAACCAGGGGCTTGCTGTTTGATTTCAAATGGATGCTGAGAGGACACACTAAGGAAAATACAATGTAGGAGAAAGAATTTCTCTAATTCAGCTGGCCACCCTTTCGTTTCCTGGAGGCAATGTAACCCAGAACGGAATCCCCCCCCCTCTAACGTTTACTCCCTCTGTGCTCGCCTTCAGAAGAGCAATCACTAACCTCGACTGGGAGGACTGAGTTGGGTAATGTTTGTAAAAGAGTCAGCCCAGTGCCCCCAGCACCTCGTGAAGAGGAACCTGAGAGAGAAGCGAATTCTCCATAGAATTCAGAAGCTCCGAGGAGCAGAGCGCCCGCACCTCCAGAGCGACAACTAGGCCTCGCCGGCGGGTGCAGAGGCCTGAATCGGCGCCCAGGGGACCATCTCCAGGTGCCCAGGGCCCGGACGGATGGAAAATACCTAACAATCTGCCCGCGTGTCGCAGGCCGGGTGTGAGGATCAATGAGACAACGAGCCTCTCATCCGGGAAGCCCCAGGGGTCACTCCGGCCGGGCCTCGGCCCCTCCCTGGGGACAGGGCGGCGGCGCCCTCTCCCGATCGCCGGTGCACGGACCCCCGAAGCTCCCGGGCAGCGCCCCAGCCCCAGGGGAGGGAGGGGAAGAGGAAGCAATGGCGCCCACCGGGGCACGGGGGTCTCCAAAGGTGAGGATGCCCCCACCCAAGGGCGATCTAGCCGGGGGACCGGCTCCCCGCACCCTCTCGCCAGCCGGATGCCTGGCCTCCCCGAGGAAGCGCCGGCGCGGCGGGCGGGCGGGAGCGCGGGATCGTCCCCTCCCCCCTCCGCCGGGCCGAGCCCCGAGCGCCGGCCTGAGGCCTCGGGGGCCTCTCCGGGGCGGCCGGGCGGCGGTGGGACGCGGAGGGGGCCCGGCTCGTAACGGGCCCGGGGTGTGCGGGGCCCCGCGCCGGGAGAGCGCGCCCCGGCGGCGGGAGGCCGCGCACGCACATAACGGGGCGCGGGCCCGGACTCACCCAGGATCTCCTTGCGCCGGTCGGCGTGGGGCTGGTCGGTGTAGACCCACTCGAAGTCTTCCCGCGCAACGCGGTTCCCCATGGCGGCGGCTCGCGACCGGCTCCCGACTGTCGCTCCCGCTCCCGGATCCTCCGAGGCGGCGGCGGCGGCCCGGCTGGAGTGGGCGGGCGGCGGGCGGAGCGGCGGAGCTGGGGAGGACGAGGCGGAGTCCCTGGCCCCGCCCCTCGGACCAGGCCCCGCCCACGACGGTCCAGGCTCCGCTCCAGGCCCCGCCCCTCGGTCTAGGCCCCGCTCACGACGGTCCAGGCTCCGCTCCAGGCCCCGCCCCAACGGCCCAGGCCCCGCCCCAACGGCCCAGGCCCCGCCCCAACGGCCCAGGCCCCGCCCCAACGGCCCAGGCCCCGCCCCCGACGGCGGGCGAGGAACGTGACCCGCGTGCGCGGCGCTCGTGGGCGCTCGCGCGGGGCCGGGCGCCGCCGCTCGGGGACGCGGGGCTCTGAGGGCGGGGACTCGTCCGGCGGCGGGAAGCGGCGCCTGCGGTCCCGCCGCCCCGGCCTGCCCCGCCCCGCCCGCGCCGGGAGGAAAGCGGGGGAGGAAGGAGACGTCGCCACCCCCGGCGCCGCTCTAGCGCTTCCGAGAAGGCTGGTCACGGGACCCGGGGCGCCGGTAAGGGCCGCGCGCCGAGCCCGGCGTGGAGAGCACGTGCCCCGGGGCCCCGGGCTGCCCCTGGGCGGAGGCCCCCGGAGGGCGCGCGGGGCGAGCCTGTGAGAACCGGCCGGAGGGCTGTGCGCCGCCGCCTGTCGCCGGAGCCCCTCGCAGCCGCGACCTGAGAGGACGGTTTTGGTTTCAAAATTAGTTACATCTTCTCCCCTAGAAAGGAGACTTTGACTCAAGTTACAGAAAGGAAGGTACCCGGACATGGTGTGACTCAATAAAACGACAGGCACACACACACATGCACGCATACACACACACACACACGCACGCAGGCACACGCACACACATGCACGCACGCACACATGCATGCATATGCACACGCGCGCGTACGCACATGCACACATACATACGCACACGTACACAAATGCACACACGCACGCACACATGCACAAATGCATGCACACACACATCTGATAAAACCCCGGACCCAGCTGCTAACGTGTAGGACACAGGACCGGGGAGCCTGTTAAACCACAGGGATGCAGTCAGCAAGATCCTGACTGTGGGGACCTCTATAGATTCTTTAATAAATAAAATGCAAGGCGGGGTGGGGGGATAAATGGGGGGGACTTAAATATTAAAAGGGACATAAGTGACCTACCAACCAATTGCAATGTACTGATCTTATTTTGAACAAATGGTCAAAGTTTTTTTTTTAAACAAAATCGACAGGAGATCATTTAAATGTTGCTTGGATACTTGGCAATATTAAGAAGTTGTTCATTTTTTTTAAGAATATATTTTATTGACTTAAAAAATATATATATATTATTGATTTTTTACAGAGAGGAAAAGAGAGGGATAGAGAGTTAGAAACATCGATCAGCTGCCTCTTGCACACCCCCTACCAGGGAAGTGCCTGCAACCAAGGTACATGCCCAGGGACTCGAACCTGGGGCCCTTCAGTCTGCAGGCCAATGCTCTATCCACTGAGCCACAGCGGTTAGGGTTTGTTTATTTCTTTAGTGTGATAATAGTATTAATGGTTCTAGTTGTTTTGAAGTCTACATCTTTTAGCGGTTGGGAGGGAATGTGGTTTTTTGTTTCTACTTTTAAATCTTTTTTTTTTTAATGTATTTTTTTTTATTGATTTCAGGGAGGAAGGGAGAGGAAGATAGGAACAAGAGTGATGAGCGAGAATCATGGATCAGCTGCCTCCTGCATGCCCCCCGTGGGGATCGAGCCCACAACCCGGGCCTGTGCCTATGCCTGGAATCGAGACCCTTTAGTCTGCAGGCCAGCACTCTATCCATTGAGCAACACCAGCCAGGGTGGAAGGGAATGTTTTTATTTGCATCTCCCTCTTCTTTATCTTTTACATTTGAATGGAATGTGGATTTTTACATTGTAAAGGGAAGGAAAAGAATTTGGCTCCAGCATTCTTGTGTGGATTGAGCAATATTTTGATGACACAGACATATTTAGTTAGGAATTTAAGAAGTTCTGCCTGGCCAGCACGGCTCAGCGATTATGCCTCCTCCATCTATGAAGCAGGAGGTCAACATTCGATTCCAGGTCTGGGCACATGTCCGGGTTGCAGGCTTGATCCCCAGTGTGGGGTGTGCAAGAGGCAGCCGATCCATGATTCTCTCTCATCGATGTTCCTCTCTCCCTCTCCTTTCCTCTGAAATCAATACAAAATCCTTTAAAAAAAAAAGTCCTTAATATGTCCTAACCGGTTTGGCTCAGTGGATAAAGCATCGGCCTGTGGACTGAAGGTTCAATTCTGGCCAAGGGCATGTACCTTGGCTGTGGGCACATCCTCAGTAGGGGGTGTGCAGGAGGCAGCTGATTGATGTTTCTCTCTCATCAATGTTTCTAACTTTCTCTCCCTCTCCCTTCCTCTCTGTAAAAAATCAATAAAAGTCCTTCATGTGTTATCTAGCTTTCACATCTTTTCCTTATTCTTGCCAGGTGATTTGTCGTTGGGCCACCCTACCAGTTATTCCAGAAAGATGCTCTCCAGTCTGCTGTGAAAAGCTAAGGTGAGTCCCAGTAATTCCTGATGCCAATAGGAAATTGCAAGTGAGGTAAGCAGATCATACTTTGGCAATCAAGCTGTCCTTCCATGCAGATTTTTTATTCTCCACTTGTTTGTTTTAAAGCAATAACATTGGTAAAGGTCGTTGGTTTCCTAGCAACGTGAATGTATTGCGTAGGCTATGGAACTAAAGATTCCACCCTGATCTACCTTCCGCAGACCTGGGAGGCTGCAGCCACCTCTCTCTTCCTGCTTCTGTGATGTCTGGGTGGCGAGAGTGAAGAGGTGGTGCTGGGATAACTGGTCCCACTTCTATCACCCTCACCCTGCAGCACACAGTCATCTGTGACCTCTTTTCTGAACATGTAAGTTCTAGACAAAGTGGCTAAAGCTCATAAGTATCCAAGCTCTTCCTGCGAATTTTGTTCTGAGCCATTTACCAGTCCCATCTTTACAGACGGGGGGTGAGATTAATGTGATGACACTTCTTTGGAATTTGGAATCGTTTTGGAGCTGGAAGGAATTTTGAAGAGAACCAGTATTCTTCCTGTCAGTGCAAAAATAAAAATAATCAGTGGTCACTAACTTTGTACTGATGGGCAGTGTTTAGTAAAGCGACTGTGGACCAGTGAGGGCTTCAGACATATCCGGTAGGACTGCCTCCTCCTCAAGATTACAGGTTCTGGAAGCCCTCACAATTCTTTCTGCCTGTATGCCTCCTCCGAGCCCCGCCTTCCCCAGGTTTCAAGTTCTGAATGTTACTCTTAACACGAGGGATTTGGACACTGGCTACTTCTAGTGGCTATATAGGATGTTCATTTATATATTTATCCCTAAGTTTATAATTGACTTAATCTAGTTTCATAGCTCCCCGCTGTTGTAGAATTTAGTGTAGCGGATGTAGCAGGAAGTACAGCAGCTTAGGAGGCAGGGAGGTCTGGCATTTACTTGTATAGCATCGTGGACGTGTTGCTTAACCCAAACTTGAACATCCCCACCCAGAGAAAAACCCACCTCAGAGCAGCTGTGAGGACTCGGATAACATGTAAAACATCCGCTCAAGCTTCCAGAGGAGGCAGCGAGCTATCCCCATGGCATTTGTGCGAAGCAGAGCTCCACAGCCTTTCTGCACAGGAAATACAAAGTAAACAGGCAGTGCTGGTAACAACACTTTTATTTCTGTACCCTGTTGTGTGACTGGGAGGTGTTTTCCACTTTCCAATAACTGAATTCGGTTATGACAACGAAAATTCCAGAAGGTAAACTGGTAGTTTATTGTTGCTCATGAGCATAAGTAAACAGACATGGTACCACATAAAGGAGCTTTAAATACTTTGGCCGTGGACTTAATAATTGATTACCAATATGCTTCTAAACCCCATCATTCCCTTCAGACACATCAGGAAAAGTTTGGATTTTTTTTTACTTCAGAAATTTAACAAATCCATAGGGAGCTGACAAAGGCCACCATGACTCGAGCCTACCATATTTATCATGATTATACATATATTGCTATTAAAAATAAAATCATTGGTACACGGCAGCCAACTAATGGCTAGTTTCAGTTCGTAGATCACTTTAGCATCTTTAAAAAATATTTCGCTTCAGAATGGCAGGCTGTAGGGTTTTGTTACATTTAAGTGGATTTAATTTACTAATCTTTTGTGGACTAGATAATTCAGATAGATCCCAAATCAAAGAATTGGATGGCATGTCAAATTGGATTTTATACGGGAAACAGCTGTTTGCAAGAGGCTGCATCATATAGGACGTTTCTTCTCAGAATGTCTTATTCCTGGCTTCACATCTTAACAGCATATGACACTTGTAGACTATTTAAGTGTTAACACACTGGTACTCATGCCTAGAGCAGGATATAAAAACGTGCTGATCACCAAGTATGAGACTTTACATTAAATTAAATTAAAATTATATATTGGTGGACACTGACAAGATAGGGAGTTCCTAGATCCTAGAAAATATTATGGCTAAGGAAATAGAGAACTCAAAAAGAAAAAGGAATCACGCCCAAGAAACTGATTCAGTTTAGTAAAATAGAACTAAGTGCCCTGTCTTAAGGAAAAGTTTATTAATAATAAGGGACAACTGGGACGTCATACATCATTTCTTTGGAGATTAAAGAAATGGCATAGAAAATAATGCATAAAATAGTGCAATCTGAAGGTGCCATTGCTTTTATGACACACAGCCTATGTTCATATGTTCATTTTCTCCCAAAAATCCAGCTGTAGTGACACCTTTTAGCTTATTTATTTAGGCATTATTTATACTTTTACCCATCTCTGGGGCTACATAGGATATCTTAACATTTTAACAAGTAGGATAATAGAGCATACATCTCGGAACTACGAAATAAGAGATTAAGGCAAGCCCCTATAGCGTTCAGTAACCCAAAAAACATGGTTTACAAAAGAAGTTGCTTCCAAAACCAGTGGCGTCAGACTGCATGGCACCC